AGAGAGAGAGAGAGAGAGAGAGAGAGAGAGAGAGAGAGAGAGAGAGAGAGACCTGTGTTAATATATATAACACATAAATATATTATGCATGTAGGCCTATATATAATACATATTAGATGACATTTGACAGAACAAGATTATTTTGAAAATTTTAGATTACTAGGTGATGTTTAAATGCCCGTTTAACCACTATTCTAAAAGTTTCATGGACTGTAAAAGAAATTTCTTTTTGTAAGCTGATGACCTGAAACTGCGAATCAAAGAGTACAGTTTCAACAGGCTTGATAAATAATATGATTGCGTATTATCATTAAATCATTGTTGACATAGAAAAGCCAACTTGCATATATTTCTTTTGTCAACACAAAGCCAGTGCGCTCTTCGTAAAAGAGGTGAATCAGATGCTCGCTTTCTTTTCTGTAAAACTAAATTTACTGCTCGGTATTGTTTTAGACAGTTTAAAGCCTTTCACTTTCTCCAGTGATATCTTGGTAACAAAGAGTTTTAATAATCAAGTCTTGATAAAACTAAGCTATTTGCTAATAAAGTAGTATGCTAAGTGGGGTATGTAATTTTTTCCTACTTTTAAATACATTTGTGCAAGAAGCGTGTGAGATCCTTTTCTTCAGCTGGCATTGGCAAATTATTGGTAGACTTAACAAACCAGATGCCTAGATTTTTAACTTTTCTTGAAAATGCAATTTTCGCATTACCAATTTTTATGTGATCTTTGTCAACCTCATAAATAGACTTTGCACTACTTGCCAGAATGACTTCTATTCCATCATTCAATATCAATTTGGTTTTGTTCATACAGTTTTCACGGAGACAATACAAGTTTCAGCACGAAGGACGAAAAAATATACATTAAAGAAAAAAAAATGAAACCACGCGACCAATGAGATAAAATAAAACTGGTTTCGCTGACATCTGACGTTTGACCTACGTGCAGAATGCACCATCCCCCTCTAGTCCAGGGAATATTGAACTGTAATGAAAGGGGCTGGCTGGTGCAGAGGTAAGTCAGGTCTAAGACATAACTATGCCGATGTGCTGCTCTCTTCATACAGTCTTGCGGCAGCCAGAACGGGGCTTTTTGGTGGCAGCTCGACGGTTCTTGGGGTTGGCAATTGGAAAAAACAGATCCGCATTGCTAACTATGACGTCACCAGCTTTTTTGCCCGGTTTTCTCGTACTTCTATACCGCCAGACGTGAACGCTAGTTGTACAACCCGTAGACCTGTGTTCCTCCCAGGAGGGCTTGGTGTCTACACTCACCAGTTGAGCACAGCATGACCAGCAGTTTTCTTTGACGTAGCCTGAATGGTGGACACACTCAGCTGATGACGCATGGCCGTCTTCCGAGCAGCGTTCGTGTGTTTTGAGAGCTGGAAGATCTACTGCGCAGTTAAGGCAATAAGCAACTGCAGGCTTGGAAGCAGAAGTGCGGGCTGCAGTGTTTCTTTTGCCTTTAGGGAAACACTTCTTGTCGTAAGTATCCCATTTCATTTCTTTCAGGGAGAACGGGTCATCAAACTCGTCGCATTTATCTAAGATTTTCCCAGGTCGCCATTGCAATCTAACCCGACGCCTGGTTGCTAAAAACTGTTTTGTGCCTTCCTCTTGGACTGATTTTGCTATCAGAACGATCTCTGTGGCTATTTTATGGTGGACTTCATTAGTCGAACACCAGACTTTTAGGACCGAGTTTGTTTGGTTTGCAGCCATGAGTGTACCGGTCTTTTCATAATCTACCTCGATGACGCAAGGTCTGTATTTCTTACAAATTTCTTTAAAATGACGTCCAACTTGGCTGTGGTCTTGTAAAACGTTCATGTTTCCCCCAAACATGGGCAACATTATTGTTTTCTTCGCTTTTCCAAGCTTGCGCTTTATTTTACTTACATATAACGGAAGAGAAAAGCGTTTCTTTTCTTTCCTTTTCTTTTCTGACTTCCTGGAAGGTTTCCTAGTTTTTTCAAAGTTTTCCTCTTCCTGCAGATGAAAAAATTCTCCGTGAAGTGCCATTTTTACCAAACAAATAAACTTGACAGCACTTGAATTGTCCACTCGTTTGCACATGGTTTGCATGTTTTGAATGAACGTAACAGTGCTACTTTTCACCATATCTTCAGGTACTCCCCCAAAAAAGTCGATAAAATTTTCCTGCCTAGACTCGTCACAGGTCCCTGAATCGGCGTCACACGCCCGAAAATTAGAATTGCGTCTGCACGCGCAAACCGCCATAGCAGAGCGCTTATGTAAGTGGTTTGGAATCTTTGCAACTTTCTTTATGTCCAGCATGGTGGATTTGAAGCCTGCAGGGTCATCATGATACACACAAACAGGCTGTATTTTAGATGTCCTCCGAGGCTCCATGACTCGAAAGAACTGTGAAATCTTTCTCTGCAAGCCCTTTTAAGTATCTGATATTCTACCCTCTTATTACCATGCTACGGGAAATCTAACTTGCAATCACTTTGGCACAATTGTAAACCGGACACAACTCGTTTTAGCACATATATTATGCCTATTCTGACGCGAACATAACGTTCTGCAGCATCTTATACGCACAATAATGCTCTCCATAGCGCCGCATTAGCATCATCGTGACTTCAAATGGCCTCGATCGGGACAACTGTAAGTTGTTTCTTCCACTTGGGTGACATCCAGAGCTCTGAAAATACAACACAAAGAACAGACATTGAAGATAATATGTGAGGCATCACGGTGAAAAAATGAAATCAATGAAAGCGCCATTTTTGCGTTTGGCCCAATATCTTTTGGGTCGATGCATAATAACACATTTCTATGAGGATTTTACTGATAGGTTGACTAAAGGCACACAAAAATTAATGTTCAATCTCCAAAACCTCTTAAGTTATAGAAGTCACCGAGCTTTAGCGGCCATTCTCTCGCATATTTTACCTCTGCAACCAGGAGACCCCCCCCCTGTCCTTCAATTGTAAATATCTTGATTTCTATTCAAGATGGATATTGTTTTCATCGAAACAGGATAAATGAACAGCACCTAAGAAAATGCCATCCACATCCCCAAAAATTGACGAGCGCTTGATTCCACCGCATCATGACACTTATGATTTGAGGAGAGAATTGGGGGAGGGGGGGCTGACTGTTTGGGG